GAGAGTGTTTCCGTAATTTGGGCAATGCAAATATGATTTAGATTGTACATCATTAAGTTAGCCATGCATAGATTATTTAGCTGGTACGTCATTAAGTTCGGTCATGAATTTATGATTTAGATTGTGTTTTGTAAAATTCAATGCTAATTGAAGTTTACTGGTATAATAAGGTAGATTAAGTCGTAGAATTGATTTTTTCGCTCTTAAGTGATTCTCAGTGTTTGCTTAGTGCTAAATTAAAAAACCCATTATCGTGAGTGTTGATAGTTGTGTTTGAATCACACTGAAATGTACCAAGGGCACCAGAACTAGGGGACAAAAGGGAGGATGTTACCCTGGTTACAATTAATGCATTAGGTGATGACGTGGATAGGACATTTTCAGAATAATTTTGTGAGAGCTGTCTTTCCTAGGTAGACAGGAACCTATTTCCTAGCAAAAACAGCAATGCACCTGTGAAGGTCTAAAAGACAATCTCTGGTACAGGAATAGTCTATTGGGTACACATAATCATCTCTGACAACCCCCTGCCTCTGTTCTATAGTGGTGGGACATCTGGAGCCAACGTTTGTGACTTCTTAGTACTACATGTATGTATGTATGTATGTAAGGTGTAATCTCCACAGGGTATCTGGAACTGTTCGATGACCTTTAACCTTAGCAGAACTCTTGTAGTAGTATTGTATTTACAGAGGTTAGCTGTGTGATCAAATGTCAGCAGGGTGCTGTGTATGTTTTAGTGTTTAGTGTGGTGTCAGGGTGCTGTGTATGTTTTAGTGTTTAGTGTAGTGTCAGGGGGCTGTGTAAGTTTTAGTGTTTAGTGTAGTGTCAGGGTGCTGTGTATGTTTTAGTGTTTATTGTAGTGTCAGGGTGCTGTGTAAGTTTTAGTGTTTATTGTAGTGTCAGAGTGCTGTGTAAGTTTTAGTGTTTAGTGTAGTGTCAGGGTGCTGTGGAAGTTTTAGTGTTTATTGTAGTGTCAGGGTGCTGTGTAAGTTTTAGTGTTTAGTGTAGTGTCAGGGTGCTGTGTAAGTGTTAATGTTTAGTGTAGTGTAAGGGTGCTGTGTAAGTTTTAGTGTTTAGTGTTGTGTCAGGGTGCTGTGTAAGTTTAAGTGTTTAGTGTAGTTTTGGTCAGACTAATGTGTAGGTTTGGTCAGGGTGTTGTGTAAGTTTTAGTGGTGTGTCAGATTACTGTGTAGGTTTGGTCAGGGTGTTGTGTAAGTTTTAGTGGACGTGTCAGATTACTGTGTAGGTTTGGTCAGGGTGTTGTGTAAGTTTGAGTGGTGTGTCAGATTACTGTGTAGGTTTTAGAGTTTTGTGTTAGTTTTAGTGGTTTTTGGTCAGATTACTGTGTAGGTTTGGTCAGATTACTGTGAAGGTTTGGTCTTGGTGCTGTGAAGGTTTGGTCTTGGTGCTGTGAAGGTTTGGTCTGGGTGCTGTGAATGTTTGGCCAGATTACTGTGAAGGTTTGGTCAGGGTGCTGTGAAGGTTTGGTCTTGGTGCTGTGAAGGTTTGGTCTGAGTGTTGTGTAAGTTTTAGTGGTGTGTCAGATTACTGTGAAGGTTTGGTCAGGATGCTGTGAAGGTTTGGTCTGGGTGCTGTGAAGGTTTGGTCAGGGTGCTGTGAAGGTTTGGTCAGGGTGCTGTGAAGGTTTGGTCTGAGTGTTGTGTAAGTTTTAGTACTCTACGACCCGTCCTGATCGTATGTGTATACTATTGAGACTGATTACCCAACTGATGAAGAAAGGCTGATGATGTGCGTCAACCATAATGACAGCATGTGATAGAAAATGTTTATTCCTGTACTGGTGTTCTAGAGAATGTTTTTCACCTCTCCATGGGAGAGCCTACATACCCTCTCCCCACCTCCTTCCAAATCTAGGCTAAATGTTACAGGCCGGTTAGTGGTGTAAGAGCAGCTTTTTGTGTGGCAGTTTTGTGTAATTACAAATTGTTTTCCGACTGATAGATGGGCTGGGAGGGGCCTCAGGATATCAAATCATCATGTGCACATGATCTGTTATTGTCTGTTCATTTGGGGAAAAGGCCTTCTTTCTAAGTCTGTACATTTCAATTAAGAACCCATGGTGGGGAGCTTAGAAAGATGATGTTAGTTTACGCCTCTATTACTTCCAGCAAGGATTAGCTTTCTCATGCATTGACATCTCTCAGGCATTGTCATCTCTCAGGCCTTGTTATCTCTCAGGCATTGTCATCTCTCAGGCATTGTTATCTCTCAGGCATTGTTATCTCTCAGGCATTGTCATGTCTCAGACATTGTCATCTCTCAGGCATTGTCATCTCACTGGCATTGTCATCTCTCAGGCATTGTCATCTTAGACCCCATCAGGTAGAGTAACAGATCACCTTTAGATGATTTTAATTAACTTTAAAAGTTATGTTGGAATCCATTTGTCCTTATTTGTGTGTGTTTTCTGAGGCAACTACAGTACAGCCAGGTTCAAAGTCAGAACTGTGAAGAGGCATTTGTACCTAAAACATTATACCACAGGGAAAAAACATAATACCACTGGGGAAAAAACAGTACCACTTAGAAAAACATAATAGCACTTAGAAAAACAGAATACCACTAGGAAAAAAAACATAATACCACCATGTAAAAACATAATACCACCATGTAAAAACATAATACCACTGGGAAAAAACATAATACCACTTGGAAAATCATAATACCACTTGGAAAAACATAATACCACTTAGAAAATCATAATACCACTTGGAAAGACATAATACCATCATGTAAAAAAATAAAACCACTGGAAAAAACATAATACCAACATGTAAAAACATAATACTACCATGTAAAAACATAAAACCCCTGGGAAAAACATAATACCACTTGGAAAAACATAATACCACTTAGAAAAACATAATACCACTGGGAAAAAACATAATACCACTGTGTAAAAACATAATACCATCATGTAAAAACATAAAACCACTGGGAAAAACATAATACCAATGAAAAAACCCATAATACTACTGGGAAAAACATAACACCACTGGGAAAACACATAATACCACTGGAAAAAACATAATACCACTGTGTAAAAACATAATACCACTGGTAAAACACATAATACCACTGGAAAAAACATAATACCACTCGAAAAAAGCATATTACCATTCGAAAAAAACATAATATAATGGGGAAAACACATAATACTACTGGGGAAAACATAATACTACTGGGAAAACACATAATACCACTGGGGAAAACATAATACTACTGGGAAAACACATAATACCACTGGGGAAAACATAATACTACTGGGAAAACACATAATACCACTGGGGAAAACATAATACTACTGGGTAAAAACATAATACCACTGGGAAAAACATAATACCACTGGGAAAAACATAATACCACTGGGAAAACACATAATACCACTGGGGAAAACATAATACTACTGTGTAAAAACATAATACCACTGGTAAAACACATAATACCACTGGGAAAAACATAATACCACTGGGAAAAACATAATACCACTGGGAAAACACATAATACCACTGGGAAAACATAATACTACTGGGAAAAAACATAATACCACTGGGAAAACACATAATACCACTGGTAAAACACATAATACCACTGGTAAAACACATAATACCACTGGGAAAAACATAATACTACTGGGAAAAACATAATACCACTGGTAAAACACATAATACCACTGGGAAAACACATAATACCACTGGGGAAAACATAATACTACTGTGTAAAAACATAATACCACTGGGAAAAACATAATACTACTGGGGAAAACATAATACCACTGGGAAAACACATAATACCACTGGGAAAACACATAATACTACTGTGTAAAAACATAATACCACTGGGAAAAACATAATACTACTGTGTAAAAACATAATACCACTGGTAAAACACATAATACCACTGGGAAAACACATAATACCACTGGGGAAAACATAATACTACTGTGTAAAAACATAATACCACTGGGAAAAACATAATACTACTGTGTAAAAACATAATACCACTGGTAAAACACATAATACCACTGGGAAAACACATAATACCACTGGGGAAAACATAATACTACTGTGTAAAAACATAATACCACTGGGAAAAACATAATACTACTGTGTAAAAACATAATACCACTGGGGAAAAACATAATACCACTGGAAAAAACATAATACTACTGGGAAAACACATAATACCACTGGGAAAACATAATACTACTGTGTAAAAACATAATACCACTGTGTAAAAACATAATACTACTGGGGAAAACATAATACCACTGGGAAAACATAATACTACTGTGTAAAAACATAATACCACTGGAAAAAACATAATACTACTGGGAAAACACATAATACCACTGGGAAAACATAATACTACTGTGTAAAAACATAATACCACTGTGTAAAAACATAATACTACTGGGGAAAACATAATACCACTGGGAAAACATAATACTACTGTGTAAAAACATAATACCACTGGAAAAAACATAATACTACTGGGAAAACACATAATACCACTGGGAAAACATAATACTACTGTGTAAAAACATAATACCACTGTGTAAAAACATAATACTACTGGGGAAAACATAATACCACTGGGAAAACATAATACCACTGGGTAAAAACATAATACCACTGGAAAAAACATAATACTACTGGGAAAACACATAATACCACTGGGAAAACATAATACTACTGTGTAAAAACATAATACCACTGTGTAAAAACATAATACTACTGGGGAAAAACATAATACCACTGGAAAAAACATAATACTACTGGGAAAAACATAATACTACTGGGAAAAACATAATACTACTGTGTAAAAACATAATACCACTGGTAAAACACATAATACCACTGGGAAAAACATAATACTACTGGGGAAAACATAATACCACTGGGAAAAACATAATACTACTGGGAAAAACATAATACTACTGGGGAAAACATAATACCACTGGTAAAACACATAATACCACTGGGAAAAAACATAATACCACTGGGGAAAACATAATACCACTGGGGAAAACATAATACTACTGGGAAAACACATAATACCACATGTAAAATCATAATACCATCATGTAAAAACATAAGACCACGGGGAAAACATAATACCACTGGGGAAAACATAATACTACTGTGTAAAAACATAATACCACTGGGAAAACACATAATACCACCATGTAAAATCATAATACCATCATGTAAAAACATAAGACCACGGGGAAAACATAATACCACTGGGAAAAACATAATACTACTTGGGAAAAACATAATACCACCATGTAAAAACATAATACCACTGGGAAAAACATATTACTACTAGGGAAAAACATAATACCACTTAGAAAAACATAATACCATCATCTAAAAACATAATACCACTGTGTAAAAACATAATACTGTTGGGAAAAACATAATACCACTCAGAAAAGCATTTTGCCATTCGGAAAAAACATAATATCATGGGGAAAAACATAATACCACTGGGAAAAAAAACACCTTAATACCACTGTGTAAAATACTTATTTAAAAACTATTTTAACAGCTAAATAAAATTATAAATAATTCACCATGACAATTAACAAATAAATGACAATTAAATGATACTTTCAAAAGTTTTGATTAAGAAGTGTACAATAAGAAAGTGTCTGAATTTAAACATTAAAGCCACGATATTTTATTAATGAAGTCTTCAGAACAAAGGTGTTGGCAGGTTCTGGCTTTGGCTGTGATATATTTGAGTGCTGTAGACAAAGTGGACACACCTTCTGGCGCATTCAACACCTTACAAAGTGCATCATCACTCAGTGTGGTAGCTGATCCTCAGACTGCAGGCGAGCAAGGGACACATGGCACATCGTAGTAATGAGAGTTTGCCTAGCTTTAAAGGGTTTCAAATGAGCAGGTGCTTGGCCGTGAGGGCTGTACATAACTAGCTTATATTAATTAGCTGTATCTACACTGTATAGCCTCCTCTTTACTATAGATCACTTGGGACGAGACTCCCAAGACATTCACTGTTTTCTAGTACAAATGGTCCTCTGACTCTGCAGTATGGGAAGAATAGAAGCAAAACACTGAGAGCATGAACTTTTACATAGGATTCTAATACACTAACTCTCTGTACTTCCTGAAACATGTACAATCACATAGCATTCTGATACACCAACTCTCGATCTGTACTTCCTGAAACATGTACAATCACATAGGATTCTGATACACTAACTCTCTGTACTTCCTGAAACATGTACATTCACATAGCATTCTGATACACTAACTCTCTATACTTCCTGAAACATGTACATTCACATAGGATTCTGATACACCAACTCTCTATACTTCCTGAAACATGTACAATCACATAGGATTCTGATACACCAACTCTCTATACTTCCTGAAACATGTACAATCACATAGGATTCTGATACACCAACTCTCTATACTTCCTGAAACATGTACAATCACATAGGATTCTGATACACCAACTCTCTATACTTCCTGAAACATGTACAATCACATAGGATTCTGATACACCAACTCTCTATACTTCCTGAAACATGTACAATCACATAGGATTCTGATACACCAACTCTCTATACTTCCTGAAACATGTACAATCACATAGGATTCTGATACACCAACTCTCTATACTTCCTGAAACATGTACAATCACATAGGATTCTGATACACCAACTCTCTATACTTCCTGAAACATGTACAATCACATAGGATTCTGATACACCAACTCTCTATACTTCCTGAAACATGTACAATCACATAGGATTCTGATACACCAACTCTCTATACTTCCTGAAACATGTACAATCACATAGGATTCTGATACACCAACTCTCTATACTTCCTGAAACATGTACAATCACATAGGATTCTGATACACCAACTCTCTATACTTCCTGAAACATGTACAATCACATAGGATTCTGATACACCAACTCTCTATACTTCCTGAAACATGTACAATCACATAGGATTCTGATACACCAACTCTCTATACTTCCTGAAACATGTACAATCACATAGGATTCTGATACACCAACTCTCTATACTTCCTGAAACATGTACAATCACATAGGATTCTGATACACCAACTCTCTATACTTCCTGAAACATGTACAATCACATAGGATTCTGATACACCAACTCTCTATACTTCCTGAAACATGTACAATCACATAGGATTCTGATACACCAACTCTCTATACTTCCTGAAACATGTACAATCACATAGGATTCTGATACACCAACTCTCTATACTTCCTGAAACATGTACAATCACATAGGATTCTGATACACCAACTCTCTATACTTCCTGAAACATGTACAATCACATAGGATTCTGATACACCAACTCTCTATACTTCCTGAAACATGTACAATCACATAGGATTCTGATACACCAACTCTCTATACTTCCTGAAACATGTACAATCACATAGGATTCTGATACACCAACTCTCTATACTTCCTGAAACATGTACAATCACATAGGATTCTGATACACCAACTCTCTATACTTCCTGAAACATGTACAATCACATAGGATTCTGATACACCAACTCTCTATACTTCCTGAAACATGTACAATCACATAGGATTCTGATACACCAACTCTCTATACTTCCTGAAACATGTACAATCACATAGGATTCTGATACACCAACTCTCTATACTTCCTGAAACATGTACAATCACATAGGATTCTGATACACCAACTCTCTATACTTCCTGAAACATGTACAATCACATAGGATTCTGATACACCAACTCTCTATACTTCCTGAAACATGTACAATCACATAGGATTCTGATACACCAACTCTCTATACTTCCTGAAACATGTACAATCACATAGGATTCTGATACACCAACTCTCTATACTTCCTGAAACATGTACAATCACATAGGATTCTGATACACCAACTCTCTATACTTCCTGAAACATGTACAATCACATAGGATTCTGATACACCAACTCTCTATACTTCCTGAAACATGTACAATCACATAGGATTCTGATACACCAACTCTCTATACTTCCTGAAACATGTACAATCACATAGGATTCTGATACACCAACTCTCTATACTTCCTGAAACATGTACAATCACATAGGATTCTGATACACCAACTCTCTATACTTCCTGAAACATGTACAATCACATAGGATTCTGATACACCAACTCTCTATACTTCCTGAAACATGTACAATCACATAGGATTCTGATACACCAACTCTCTATACTTCCTGAAACATGTACAATCACATAGGATTCTGATACACCAACTCTCTATACTTCCTGAAACATGTACAATCACATAGGATTCTGATACACCAACTCTCTATACTTCCTGAAACATGTACAATCACATAGGATTCTGATACACCAACTCTCTATACTTCCTGAAACATGTACAATCACATAGGATTCTGATACACCAACTCTCTATACTTCCTGAAACATGTACATTCACATAGGATTCTGATACACCAACTCTCTATACTTCCTGAAACATGTACATTCACATAGCATTCTGATACACTAACTCTCTATACTTCCTGAAACATGTACATTCACATAGGATTCTGATACACCAACTCTCTATACTTCCTGAAACATGTACATTCACATAGGATTCTGATACAGCAACTCTCTATACTTCCTGAAACATGTACAATCACATAGGATTGTGTTGAGAGTTAGAGCAATGGCGCAATATCTTACTAAACCAAACTTCTTAGTGCCAAAAATTCAAGGCACAAGATTGGTCATCATAAGACTTTCAAGATGGATAACGCAATTCACGGTGTATGATCTGATTACAAATTGGCTTTTAACCCAAGAACATTGATCTAGTTTCTTGATTATCTTTAGGCTGATGTTATAGCCTGTCCAGGACCCTTGTCAGACATCACTGTCTTCAGAGGTCTCACTTCAAATTGATTTCAATATCGCATGGTTAATATAGAAGTGTCTCATTTTCAACATGATCAAAATTGTTTTGGGCACTGATATTGATTTTTGACTAGGCGGGGTGTTGTGATTGGTTTTGGGCACTGATATTGATTTTTGACTAGGCGGGGTGTTGTGATTGGTTTGGGTGCAGGAGTCTTCACACTGCACGTCCATCTTATTATGCAGGAATCCATCTTGTTTATATGGCTTTGGTCATGAAGCAGAATTACATGCTACATTGCACATTAACATCTTTTATTGTTGCATGAGCACATCTTCATGCTTCATTTGGCAAGTCTCTGTTAAGTGCAAGCTTGTTTTCTCAACATATTTTTTTTTGTTTACCATCGCTAGCTTGTTGAGTTTGAGAGTGCAAGTAACTTACCTTAGCTGTCACAAGGATATAAAAACCCACCCATCAAACAAACTGTGAAACAATAAAGTTTTATTAAAGGTTATTTAAAATGGCAAAGTGTTAATCTTATGTAACTATGACAGTGCTAATCCTTTGTAACTATGACAGTGTTAATCCTTTGTAACTATGACAGTGTTAATCCTATGTAACTATGACAGTGTTAATCCTTTGTAACTATGACAGTGCTAATCCTATGTAACTATGACAGTGCTAATCCTATATAACTATATGACAATGTTAATCCTATGTAACTATGACAGTGTTAATCCTATATAACTATGACAGTGTTAATCCTATATAACTATGACAGTGCTAATCCTATGTAACTATGACAGTGCTAATCCTATATAACTATGACAGTGTTAATCCTATATAACTATGACAGTGTTAATCCTATATAACTATGACAGTGTTAATCCTATTTAACTATGAGTGCTAATCCTTTGTAACTATGACAGTGCTAATCCTATGTAACTATGACAGTGTTAATCCTATATAACTATGACAGTGCTAATCCTATATAACTATGACAGTGTTAATCCTATATAACTATGACAGTGTTAATCCTATATAACTATGACAGTGTTAATCCTATGTAAATATGACAGTGTTAATCCTATGTAACTATGACAGTGCTAATCCTATATAACTATGACAGTGTTAATCCTATATAACTATGACAGTTTTAATCCTATATAACTATGACAGTGCTAATCCTATATAAATATGACAGTGCTAATCCTATGTAACTATGACAGTGCTAATCCTATATAACTATGACAGTGTTAATCCTATATAACTATGACAGTGCTAATCCTATATAACTATGACAGTGGTAATCCTATGTAACTATGACAGTGCTAATCCTATATAACTATGACAGTGGTAATCCTATATAACTATGACAGTGGTAATCCTATGTAACTATGACAGTGCTAATTGCTTAAAACTTGCTTAAATAGTTAATGCTAAGTTTGTTTTAAATACAAACTGATGAATCTTATTCCAAATCTCATTCCAATGATTATATGCAAAAAGTTAATTTTATTGAACATAAAGCATATAGGTTTTGCAATTTACAATAATCTCTAGCAGGCTAAAATATGAAAACGCTTTTTTGAGGAGAAATGTTAATATACACATGATCGTAATGGCTCAGTGAGATTCTGATTACTTCATATTAATCACAAGATATTATTTTAAACATTTGATATAATATGGAAATTGTTTGGTGTTTTTCAGCTTCCTGGTCCTCACTTCCAGCCCCAGAGCTGAAGCATGGCAGTAAAAGTCATTCGTCTGTGGTCCTCCACTGGGCGGGGCCGACCCACCCTAATGTTACCTACTACATACAGAGTCGGATCACAGACTTCAACAGTGACTGGGAGATTTACAACCAATCATCTCTACAACCTGGAGGTGACATCAGTATTACTGGCCTCCATCCTTACCTCACATACCAAGTAAGCACCACGTCCTTAAGTACATCATACTTTCAAAGTAGACACCACAATTTCACCTGTGAGTGGCAGCTACATTCAAACAGTAAGTCGTTTACGTGTAATCACCAGTGAATGTTTATTAGAGCATCAAAAATGAACTAATGACGGAGAAAGATATACAGAATGTCGGTATAACAAGGCATACACACTACACCAGACAGTATAACAAGGGGTACACACTACACCAGACAGTATAACAAGATATACACACTACACCAGACAGTAAAACAAGGGGTACACACTACACCAGACAGTATACCAAGACATACATACTACACCAGACAGTATAAGAAGGGGTACACACTACACCAGACAGTATACCAAGACATACATACTACACCAGACAGTATAAGAAGGGGTACACACTACACCAGACAGTATAACAAGGGATACACACTACACCAGACAGTATAACAAGATATACAAACTACACCAGACAAGTGGTACACACTACACCAGACAGTATAACAAGACATACATACTACACCAGACAGTATAACAAGGGGTACATACTACACCAGACAAGTGGTACACACTACACCAGACAGTATAACAAGGGGTACACACTATACCAGACAGTATAACAAGGCATACACTCTACACCAGACAGTATAACAAGACATACACACTACACCAGACGGTATAAAAAGGGGTACACACCACACCAGACAAGGCGTACACACTACACCAGACAGTATAACAAGGGGTACACACTACACCAGACAGTATAACAAAGGGTACACACTACACCAGACAGTATAACAAGGGGTACACACTACACCAGACAGTATAACAAGGGATACACACTACACCAGACAGTATAACAAGGAATACACACTACACCAGAGAGTATAACAAGGGGTACACACTACACCAGACAGTATAACAAGGGGTACACACTACCCCAGACAGTATAACAAGGGGTACACACCACACCAGACAGTATAACAAGACATACATACTACACCAGACAGTATAACAAGATATACACACTACACCAGACAGTATAACAAAGGGTACACACTACACCAGACAGTATAACAAGGGGGACACACTAAACCAAACAAGGCGTACACACTACACCAGACAGTATAACAAGGGGCACACACTACACCAGACAGTATAACAAGGGGTACACACTACACCAGACAGTATAACAAGGGGTACACACTAAACCAAACAAGGCGTACACACTACACCAGACAGTATAACAAGGGGTACACACTACAACAGACAGTATAACAAGGGGGACACACTACACCAGACAGTATAACAAGGGGTACATACTACACCAGACAGTATAACAAGGGGTACACACTACACCAGACAGTATAACAAGACATACATACTACACCAGACATTATAACAAGTGGTACATACTACACCAGACAGTATAACAAGGGGTACACACTATACCAGACAGTATAACAAGGGGTGCACACTACACCAGACAAGGGGTACACACTGGACCAGATAGAACGTGGTTTGTTAAGGTCATGATACGGACAAAACTAAGCTGCTCATCCATTCTCTCTAATAAGTTGATTGTTTTACTCCCTCCTGAGTTGGAGTGGCATTTCGTTTTGTTCCAAGGATGTGTTCACTGTCCTTTGAGCTGTGACAATTGTACAGTGCTGTAAATCATGGGGAGACTTCTTCAGCATCGCTGTCAACTTTCAGACCTTATTAAGAGGCTGAGACAAGGGAACGCTAGTGGGACCTATTAATTCTCATTAGTCCGATGCCACAGATGTGGTTTGCAGTGCTAGGACGTGCCACCTATACTGGCTAATTGTATGTTTTTGTCGTTACAACTCTATTGTCAAGTAAAGCATCAATCAATATTAGATGATAATCCTCTTGGTTGTTTACCGGGGAAAACACTAGGTGGAGCAACTGTTACAGCTTTCCTGTCTTCAAAAGGCCAGTCCACTCTATTACATTGTCCAATCATTGCTCATATGCAGCTGTATGAAGAAAAACATTTTTCAGCATCATTGATTGAGTAAAATAGTTAAATATTAGATAAGTATAGCACCCCCAGGAGCTGAGAAATAGTTTATGTATCCAAGACTGTCTTGGTTAGAGTTTCTAGTACATATATTTCTGGATATCAGGAGCAGATGATCAACATATACTTCCTTTTCAATGTAAATGATGAAAAGGATTTGTGATTGGTAGCATTTGTGGATCTGTCATACTTTCTTGAACCCAAACCTTCAGTATTGTTGAACAGAATATGCAGGTATGTCTTAGGTTGAAGTCAAGCCTACAGTCTTGTTTGGTAGAATGTGCAGGTCTAGTTTACTTTGTTGAAGCCAAGCTTCTGTCTTGTTGGGTAGAATGTGCAGGTCTGGTTTACTTTGTTGAAGCCAAGCTCCTGTCTTGTTCAGTGGCGTTTATGTAAGCTAACACTTCAGTCTCTAAAATTATAACATTCTAGCCTCTGCTTTGAGCAGTATATAAGCAGATTAATTAGTTTACCTTTTTTATTAAGTGCTATTTTTAAAAATGACCTATAAATCCACTGATAAACTGCTGAAATTTGACACTAGAAAAATCACATTTTAGAGACTGTTGGGTCTACATACATCTGTCTCATACTTTATTTTAACTAGTATTCAGTTTTATTTGGTAGCTTGTACATCTCTCCTATGTTGTAGAAGTCTTCTCACTAGTTAATACTATGATAGGAGTTACTGATGATCTTCATTGAGAGTTCCAGCATATCATTGTCTCTGGAACCTATCGTTGTGAATTGTCACACTCTGATGTGTCAGTGTCAGGAGCTTGTTGTGTGGTCCCAGGTCTGATGTGACAGTGTAAGGAGCTTGTTGTGTGGTCCCAGGTCTGCTGTGACAGTATAAGGAGCTTGTTGTGTTGTCCCAGGTCTGCTGTGACAGTGACAGGAGCTTGTTGTGTTGTCCCAGGTCTGCTGTGACAGTGTAAGGAGCTTGTTGTGTTGTCCCAGGTCTGCTGTGACAGTGTAAGGAGCTTGTTGTGTTGTCCCAGGTCTGCTGTGACAGTGTAAGGAGCTTGTTGTGTTGTCCCAGGTCTGCTGTGACAGTGTAAGGAGCTTGTTGTGTTGTCCCAGGTCTGCTGTGACAGTGTAAGGAGCTTGTTGTGTTGTCCCAGGTCTGCTGTGACAGTGTAAGGAGCTTGTTGTGTTGTCCCAGGTCTGCTGTGACAGTGTAAGGAGCTTGTTGTGTTGTCCCAGGTCTGCTGTGACAGTGTAAGGAGCTTGTTGTGTTGTCCCAGGTCTGCTGTGACAGTGTAAGGAGCTTGTTGTGTTGTCCCAGGTCTGCTGTGACAGTGTAAGGAGCTTGTTGTGTTGTCCCAGGTCTGCTGTGACAGTGTAAGGAGCTTGTTGTGTTGTCCCAGGTCTGCTGTGACAGTGTAAGGAGCTTGTTGTGTTGTCCCAGGTCTGCTGTGACAGTGTAAGGAGCTTGTTGTGTTGTCCCAGGTCTGCTGTGACAGTGTAAGGAGCTTGTTGTGTTGTCCCAGGTCTGCTGTGACAGTGTAAGGAGCTTGTTGTGTTGTCCCAGGTCTGCTGTGACAGTGTAAGGAGCTTGTTGTGTTGTCCCAGGTCTGCTGTGACAGTGTAAGGAGCTTGTTGTGTTGTCCCAGGTCTGCTGTGACAGTGTAAGGAGCTTGTTGTGTTGTCCCAGGTCTGCTGTGACAGTGTAAGGAGCTTGTTGTGTTGTCCCAGGTCTGCTGTGACAGTGTAAGGAGCTTGTTGTGTTGTCCCAGGTCTGCTGTGACAGTGTAAGGAGCTTGTTGTGTTGTCCCAGGTCTGCTGTGACAGTGTAAGGAGCTTGTTGTGTTGTCCCAGGTCTGCTGTGACAGTGTGAGAAGCTCTTTGTGTTGTCCCAGGTCTGCTGTGACAGTGTAAGGAGCTTGTTGTGTTGTCCCAGGTCTGCTGGGACAGTGTGAGGAGCTTGTTGTGTTGTCCCAGGTCTGCTGTGACAGTGTAAGGAGCTCATTGTGTTGTCCCAGGGCTGCTGGGACAGTGTAAGGAGCTTGTTGTGTTGTCACAGGTCTGCTGTGAGGCTGTAAGGAGCTTGTTGTGTTGTCTCAGGACTGCTGTGAAGCTGTAAGGAGCACATTGCGTTGTCTCAGGTCTGCTGTGATGCTTCAAGGAGCTTGTTGTGTTGTCCCAGGTCTGCTGTGAAAGTGTAAGGAGCTTGTTGTGTTGTCACAGGTCTGCTGTGACGCTGTAAGGAGCTTGTTGTGTTGTCTCAGGTCTGCTGTGAAGCTGTAAGGAGCACATTGTGTTGTCTCAGGTCTGCTGTGATGCTGCAAGGAGCTTGTTGTGTTGTCCCAGGTCTGCTGTGATGCTGGAAGGAGCTCATTGTGTTGTCCCAGGTCTGCTGTAACAGTGTAAGAAGCTCGTTGTGTTGTCTCAGGTCTGCTGTGACGCTGGAAGGAGCTCATTGTGTTGTCCCAGGTTTGCTGTGACAGTGTGCGAAGCTTGTTGTGTTGTCCCAGGTCTGCTGTGATGCTGGAAGGAGCTCATTGTTATGTTGTCCTAGGTCTGCTGGGACAGTGTAAGGAGCTTGTTGTGTTGTCCCAGGTCTGCTGTTACAGTGTAAGGAGCTTGTTGTGTTGTCTCAGGTCTGCTGTGACGCTGTAAGAAGCTTGTTGTGTACTGTCCCAGGTTTGCTGTGACGCTGTAAGGAGCTCGTTGTGTTGTCCCAGGTTTGCTGTGACAGTGTGAGAAGCTTGTTGTGTTGTCCCAGGTCTGCTGTGATGCTTGAAGGAGCTCATTGTTATGTTGTCCCAGGTCTGCTGGGACAGTGTAAGGAGCTTGTTGTGTTGTCCCAGGTCTGCTGTTACAGTGTAAGGAGCTTGTTGTGTTGTCTCAGGTCTGCTGTGACGCTGTAAGAAGCTTGTTGTGTACTGTCCCAGGTTTGCTGTGACGCTGTAAGGAGCTCGTTGTGTTGTCCCAGGTTTGCTGTGACAGTGTAAGGAGCTCTGTGTAAGGTTCCTGATACAGTAGTTCTAATCTGATAATTCCATTCATGTTAATAAGGACTAATTGGCCTGAAGCTTTACTAGGTTAACCCGAGGAAGTTTATTCTATTGTTACAGATAGATTTTATCCTTGCCGCTAGACAGAAATGCTAGCCTTCAAGATTACTCTGGTCTTGCTGGTCTATTAGCACTAATCTGTCGGCTGCCCTATACCTGTTTAGTATGCATGGAAAGTCCAGCCTAGCCAGTCCCCCCC